TGATATATATATATATATATATATATATTATTTTTTAAAATTATTAATTTTCTTTTTTTTTTTGTGATAGACCAGTCTAATATTTTTTAAAGTAAAAATACTTCAATTTTCGTGCTTGTGTCAACACTAAACCATTGTGGCACCCATGATTATGTACAATATTACAAGAAAATAAAGCAGCAAAAAACAAATTGGAAGTTAAAATTGTATAGAATAAATAGATATTCTAAACTATAGTCCTTAATTAGATAGATACATAGAAGCATTAAAATGAAAAACAAGTCTACTATGGCAAGTGAGACTTATGAAAATAAGATAAAACTAATAGCTACATCAAATACAAACCCATTGAAGCTTCTTCGTATGATGATTCAATACAAAGTTGTAATACATAAGTATCTCTAATTTATGTCCGAAATTTTAGAAACACACTTATATCATATTAAGGTCATATTATCTCTGAATTTATTTAATAAATAATTTTCTACCTTTTTTCGATCTACGTGACACTAACTTAAAAAAAAGGTCAACACGCGCTAGACCCAAAAGATAGTGCCACGTAGGCCGAAAAGAGATAGAAAATTATTTATGAAATAAGTTCAGGAGGAAATAGAACCTTAATATCGTATAAATATAACCTTCTTTTTATCTTATTTATTATCTAATGGAAATTACGTCATTTAACAATGTCTTTCTCTATGCTATTATGGAGTAGCGATAAATTTTAATTTTTTTGAAACAATGATTATTTTATTCCTTATTTATTATGAAAATGCAAGCCTTATTTGTTTGCATTTAATGGAGATATGAATATTAGTAATGCTCATTAGATGCATTTAATTTTTAGATTTGAATCTAAATTATTCAGATTCATCAACCCATTAAGCCACTTTTTTTTTATATATAAAAATAAGTCTCTTCTGAAAAAATCAAATATGTAGGAGATTCTTACCAACATTCAAACTTATTTAATAAGTTATAGAATAATATACCATCATATAACTTGCTCTTTGCGTGCCTTTTTCCTTTCTCACAACTACAAACTCTCTTTTTTCAACAAAACACCATTTTTTCTCTTCTGAACTCGTAAATTTTCATAATCTTTTCAAGTATATTTTTTTATATTAATAATTTTCTTGGGTGTGTATTGATGTGTGTCAAGAACACTTGTTATAACAATATTTTGATGTATTGATGTTTATTAAGGTTTTTGAATAAAATAACTAGCTATGATTAAAGACAATAATTATGTACATATTTGAGGTCTCTTATTATAACAATTTTGTTTTAGGCCAGTAACCTTATTGTGACTCTTCGATCATCAAACCTGTTTATGAAATAACACTAATATATTATTATTGTTGAACTATGTACATATTTGAGGTATTTTTGTTATTTGTAATTTTAATAATTTGATTAACCTAGGACCTGATCCTTGTGCAAATTTACACACAACTGCCAGGCTGTAAAAAGTACAATTGGTTGGTGCACAATCTCCAACTGTGGCATGACCTCAAAAGTTGCGACTATTCTTCATAAATATTACTCTCTCCGTCCGAAATTGTTTGTCATGTTGCGCTTATTGAAAGTCAAAATTTGACTCATTTTCAAAGGTAAATTAGATCACATTAATTCAATATTTTAAACAAAAAATAAAATATTCTAAAACTATATGAAAAGTACTATAAATTACAACTTTTTCATATTAATATGATGAAAAAATACATTTTAAAATGTTAGTCAAAATTTTTAAAGTTTGACTCTAAAAGTAGAAACCATGACAAACTATACCGGACGGAGGGAGTATGTCCAATAATCACAACATTAGTTTTTGCAACTTGAAAATTCTCAAAAGCACTTGCAAAGACTCACGTTTAAGAAGAATCATCCTCAAGAGCAACATGGACCTCATAGAGCTGCAAGCTGTCTAGTTATCTTAGGATTATATCTTCTGTGCTTACATTGTAAATTTGTTCCTGATTTATAAAGAATTCAGATCTTGTGTTCGTTTGTAAAAGTCTAAATCAATTAAGGCTAACTGGTTTAGTGGACAACATTGTTTGTTGCTTAGTCAAAAATTTTATAATAAGTCATCTAGGAGCTAATTGATTTAGTGGGCGGTGTAATATCCGCTTAGAAAAGTCTAAGTTATCTGGGGATAGCTTAGTAGGCAGTGTGATATCTTCTTAGACTCGTTAAGGAATAGAGTTATTACTTAGTTGTGAGATTAGTAACTCCTCATTGTGTTTGTAATTTAGTTGAAATTTTTTTGTCTGACAGATCGTGGTTTTACTCTCTTAAGCAAGGAGGTCTTCACGTAAACTGCTCGTGTTGTGTTCTCCTTATTATTTACTCTTCTGCACTGTTCTTGTTGTATCAAGGGACTTGATCCATTGACTGATAGTGGACGCATACATTCTATCAGTTTTATTAACATTTTGTTTTAGGCCACCAATTTTTTTGAAACTTTATATTATCAAACCCTTTGTGATATTACCACAGCCATATTATTAACACAATACATAATGATCCTTAACTTGATTTTAGCGGATAACTATGCTCTCCAACTTTGAGTGTACATAAGTAGACATTTAAAGTTGTATAAAATCTAACAAATAGACACACATTTCCTACATGACATAATACAAGTAGGACGTCATATATGACACAAAATATTGCCAGGTAGGGTGTTATGTAGAACAAATGCGTCTTTTCGTTCAATTATACAAGTTTAAATGTCTACTTGTGCATACTCAAAGTTAAAAATTATAATTGTCAACTGACATCATGTTAAGGGTCATGTTTACGTATTATGACCATAATATTATTGTTGAACTATGTATATACTCGAAGTCTTCAATTAGAATTTTATTTTAGGTCACTAGTTTTATTGAGACTATTTAATCTTCAATAATCAATATGATCAAATTTGCTTGTGAGAGATTACTATGTATATATTAATATTCAAAAATATTTATTATTTCCTTGTATATTGTTTTGACATTAGTACTACAGTAACTTGTCTTTGTAACTTTAAGTTTTTAGTAAAATCACTATAGAACTTTTTCTATGTTTTTAAATTTTGAATTAAACTAAGCTAATGTAGTAGTAATATTTTTGAGAATTAAAATCAAGGTATTATATTGCAACAAATGACTAACATATTTTTTCCACTTTTTTTTTTAAAAAAAGAAGACCTTTTGCCAAGTTATATATTTATTGTTGAACTATGTACACTCTCTTATTAAAATTTTATTTATGCAACTAATTTTATTAATACTAATTTTATTCGTTGGTATAAATGATTTTCTCCCAATAATAAATAGGCTATAATGATTTTGGAAATGTAAACTCAATTCAAGCCTCCTTTCTTCTTCTTGCTTTATTTATTGTTGGTCATATTTCATTTCTCATATAATTATCATTTTCTACGTGACATAATACAAGTAAGACGTCAAATATGACACAAAATTGTCAGGTAGTATGTCATGTAGGATGAATGTGTCTATTTATACAATTTTGTACAAGTTTAAATATTAATGGTCATTAATAATGTATTATGCCCATGTTATTATCGTTGAGCAAGGTATATACTCGATATTTTATATTATAATTTTATTTTAGGTCACTAATATTATTGAAACTCTTTAATTTTCAATGTGATCAAATCTCTGCTGTGAGATTACTAATGTATATATTATTATTGTTGAACTATGCATACACCTGAGATCTCTTTGTTTTAGGATACAATTAATATTCAAAAATATTCAATATGTCATTGTATATAGTTTTGACATTAATAGTATAGTAACTTGTGTTTCCAACTTCTAAGTTTTTAGTAAAATCACTACAGAACTTTTTCTATGTTTTTAAATTTCAAATTAAACTAAGTTAATATAGTAGTAATATTTTTGAGAATTAAAATCAAGGTATTATATTGCGAAAAATGACATATTCTTTTTCACTTAAAAAAGGACCTTTTTTCAAGTTATGTATTTATTGTTGAACTATGTATACTCCTTATTAAAATTTTATTTTTATGCAACTAATTTTATTGTTTCTTTTTATCATCAAACTTGTTGGTATAAATGATTTTCACCCAATAATAAATAGGTTACAATGATTTTGAAATGTAAACTCAATTCAAACCTCCCTTTTTCTTCTTGCTTTATTTATTGTTGGTCATATTTCATTTTTCTCATATAATTATGGTTATGATGAATTATCAATATCATAATTTAATCTTTCTTTTAGTAATAACTATGTTATATTTTGGAGGCATCAATTCAAAGTTTATTGTTATGCATTATGTTTTACGATGAGCGCCCACATTATGCCACACAAATATATGAAAGTGATTTGTCGAGGCGAATTGTCTAAGCTCTTGATAACAAGAGTTACTATGTTCATATTCTTCAAGATCTCTCTATTTTGTAACAAAGATGAGAAGTTACTTAATTTTTCAAAATTACAACCAGTATGGCAAGGATATGATATCACAAATGCCAAAATATGGAAAAAAGTTAAAAACAATTGTGTTACAAGGAAAGTACACATGTTATAACAAGGTTTAAATGGAATCACGATATGGATACTGAAAACTCATAGTCAATCAAATCTTAGCTTGAGATTGACGCATAGTAACTAGCATTATTATTACTGTAATAGTAAGATGAGTTTTTATTATAAAATTATATTATTTTCAAGTTATAGCAGTTTGATTTGATTCATTGGTGGGCACAGTACCCATGCTCTTCAATGGTAGGGCGAGTTTCTTCATATGCAGAGTTGAGCTTCAGAGTGAGTTTGTTTTCATATCCCCTGCATCACATTGGTAAAAATATTGAGAAAAATATGAAAGAAACGTTGTCTACGCGATGAAGTGTTACAAATAAATGGTAATCACTAATCATACCTCGTACTTGGTAACTTCTTCTCGTGCTTCCTTTGATGACTTGCTTAACGACTAGAAGATTTTTGAGCTTTCGTTTGGGTATATGTTCCGTAACTTCTTCCACTTGGGAATACGTTGAGACTTCATCTTCGTTGTTGAACCAGATCCAATATTATAAGTCTTATGTGACATATTACTTTGTTTCACCTTATATCTGCAGTAATAAAGCCAGGTTATAGTATCATAGGCACTACTCAAAAATTCTCTTATTACTGTTGACAATTATATCATTTGCATTTGCTAAATTTTCTTTGTAATGACAGTGATGTCCGGTCAATTTTCCTACATTTCAACTAATTTCACTAGGTATGCGCAACTAACTTCCAGGTAACACAAGTATTGACTAACTCTGTCTACCAAGGCTTGGATAGTATTGACTAAACCGGGATATCATCTCTCGTCCACTCCATTGACCACTACATGTTACACAATTCGGTGCAGATCCATACCATGTATACATGTTTCTAACAAAGAGGAAATGAAAGGCTACCTACTAAGTATGAAACAGAGTTCGACTACTGCTTATGGAAAGATCAGATCATTTTGTCCAGAAATATCATTTTCAGCCCGTCTATCGATTGAACCAGGGACTGAGCTCTTGTTGACAGACAAAAGAAGAGGGAAGAGCAACTCTACTCATAGAAAGACATAACGAACATGCAAGATCTATTAATAAGCCCGTGCCAATGCAAGATTTGTACAAACTACAACAAAACAAAGTTGAGTGTTACCTGTCATTCCCGTCTTTCCAGACATGATTGTATTCCTGAGGCGAAGATAAAAACAGAAGTAAAGAATAAGAAATGAGATTGAACAAACTCATATCGAATTTAGAAGCATCTATTCTGTTTTAAAAAAAAAAACAGAAAAAAGCATCACAAGAAACTTAAAGTTACTTTGAATCGTTGAGACTTGGCACCCAAAAAAATACAACAGTTTGCAGCTCCACACAGACAACGAACAGTTGCACCCGCGTACCACTCAAAATAATAATTAATTGTCAACTCCTTTCCAACAGATATATCCTTCATCGCAAATATTCCTAATCTTGTTTCCCCTAACACAGTCCATTTCCTCGTTTCACAATTTGGTCGACTGGGAAAATTCAACAACACACAGTATCATCAGTACTATCAATCGACACCAATTAACCAATCATAATGTGCCACGGACTGATTACAACCGTTGATTCAGAGCACATACCATGAATGATTTAAGAATCTTGAAAAATTTCCCTTTCGCGTTGAGTCAATGACATAATTAGTATCTAGAGTAATCATGTACGTGTCCTTGACCTCTGCGCCACAAATCATACGAAATTACTACTGAACTATTGACAAACATCTGTAATGTCGATAACTTACCATGAGCTTCATAAACATAAGATCGTTTTTTTGCTGCTTCAGAAGATATCACTTCTCCGCAGTACTCAATGATGAACTGTCCTGCCTTTATATTCTCATCAGCGAAAAGACCCCAACCACGTTCGTTAGTCCTGAACAACTTAGTTTTTGCATATTCACGTTGCTGGAACATCTGTCGTATGTTAATAAATCGATCACAACACTGTGAAAGTATATATACAAATAAAGAGAAACAACAGAGCAAATGTTTCGACTAATTTACCTGATTATTGCAACTATCACCACACTGACAGTATCCCGGTGTACATTCAGTGTTGGTTAGTACATTCAAACATCTATCTACACACGCACTTTTAGGATCGCTAGTATCATACTTGCATTGACAAATAGCAATATCATCTTCTTTCAGTTTCTTATGTCTGTAACACGACATTTGAACGATCCCATTAAAATTGATCAACTAAAACAAAGATCAGCAATAATTGAAAACCACAATTGCAAATGGCACAACAATAAATGGCGAGATTATTGTTAAATGTTACAGAGAGAAGAGATATGACCTCACTTTCGTCTTAAAAATACATTTTGAGTAATATGAATAAATGGCGTTACTCCTTCTGGCAGTTGAACCTTAAAAAAAAACGAGAAAAAAATGGCAACAGTTCATCGTCATTACTTGATGTAGTAAATAAAATGGTACTTATACAGCAATGCATTACTATTAGACAGTATTGTAATATACAACAGACAATAAGCAAATCAAATATCAAACAACAAATTGATTACATAAACTTTTCATCCATAGTCCAATTTTTCGATACGTAAATTTTTTAATTAATAAAAACAGCAGCACTAAGACATACCACATTGCTTTTGTCTTCGACTGAATGCACCATCTATGCAACCTTTTGCCAGAAATCTGGAGAACTATAAATACTCGAACAAAGTAAAAGATTTTTTCATCAGTTTCATATCCGAGTACAAGATCACACGCAATGGACGTGCCTATGAACTAAAAATCGTCCATTTTTGTGCTTCTTGTTATAGAGATGCAAGAATAAAATGTTTCATTTTCTTGCTCTTACATATGAATAAGTAAAAACTAGAAAAGTATGATTACGTTCAACCAAGAATTTGGAATCACAAAAGATCAAATAATTCAACTTTTAGAAGAATTACCAAAATTTTAAAATCATACACATTGGCTTAACATATATATAGAGAAAAAAAGACAGTCTGATGCACTAAGCTTTCGCTATGCGCAGATGCTGAGAAGAAATGTATGATAATTCAAGACTAAAACATATTATCATGACGACAAATTAAAGTACAAAATGACAATATATATACAATAAAAATTAACATGAAAAGGCAATAAATTATGATATGGAGATAATTATTTATGAACTAAGAAGAAGAGAAGTATATAGAGTGGACCTTTGTATATATTAATTTGAAAAAAAAAATTCAGTCTTTTTGTGTTTGTTTATGTCTTCTTTTTGTTTTTGTTTTTTTTCGTTATCCAGAAAATTAAAACGGTTTATTCTTAGTCAATTTAAAGACAAAAAAATGGTGATGTGTTAATTGTTAATTGGGGGAAGTTATATATGCAGTTGGTTGTTTTTAAAAGTTTAGTTTTCTTTTTTGAATTTTTATTTTTTTAAAGACAAGAGATAAGTACAAATCTCCATTCCTAATTACTTGTTCACTTTTCCTTTTATAGTTATTCCTAATTACCTGTTTATTTTGACAAATAAAAAAATAATTTTTTTATATCCACAATTAAATGACTAATTACTATGAAAAGTGTAGAACTTTTCATCCACTTTATAATTAATAGGGGTAAAATGGTAAACTTACTACGTCATAAATTATTTTTATAATAGGTGTGTCAATTCAAAAGTGGACAAGTAAAAAGGGACAGAGTACTAGTTAGTCATTTTTAGATTAATGGTATATGTAAAATTAAAATCTTAGACCAAAATAAATACAATGTCACAAAAGAAAAAACAAACGAAAATTGCTAACATATTCGTTAAACTAATTAAAAGCTAGACCAAAATAAATACAATGTCACAAAAAAAAAAAGGAAATTGCTAACACATATATTAAACTAATTAAAAGCTAGACCAAAATAATACAATTTCATAAATAAAAAACCCAAAAATTTCTATCATATTTATTAAACTAATTAAAAGAATTTATTTTAATTTCGTTTTAAATTGAAATAATAACTTGCAGTTCTAAAATATGACTCTTTTTGGTAAAACACTTTTCAACAATGAAAAAAATAGCATAACATTTGTATGAACTTCTTCAATTCAAACTCTTAGCTTCTCTGGACTTCTTACTGATTCTTTTATATTGTAGTCGAACTCCAACATTTCAATTTAGCAGTAACTTGAAGAGTTCTACTTTAAGGTGAGACTCGTTCTTCAATTTCAAATCAAACTCATTGATTCTTTCTCTTCAATTCATCAAATGTTTATTTCCTTGAGCTTTCTCATAAAATTAACATCATTCATTCTTTATTTCTTCACTCTTGTCTTTGTTCATTTTAAAAGCTTTCTCGAATTCAACTGCTCTTGACAGGGCACCTTTGGGCCATGCTGACTGACATGTTTCATCTTTCTTTGTCAATCATCAAAACTGCATAAATCCCAACAGAAAACCAATTGATCGAGGGATCTACGAGAAACTACAAGAAAAGGTCTAAAAATAACTCATGAATATCGAATATCAAAAGGAGTATGTTCTCAAATCCAAAATCAAACAAGCATATACAAATCAGACCAAAATATTGTTTCAAAACGCCCTCGTACAACACAACTAATTTTCATTACATCTTCTTAGAAGGTAATTCATAAAATGCTATCTCTTACTTCTTCGAACTTTTTCTCCCGCTCTAAGTTTTTCCCTTATTCATTTGTTTATGGAAAAGGGTAAAAATACCCCTAAACTACAAGAAAAAAATTTGAAAGTATCCTTCATCCATCTTTTGGTCTAAAAATACCCTTCTATCATTTTTTTTGGTTTAAAATTACCCTTTTATCCACTTTTTTGCTCACTTATAACCCTAGCAACTAACAACCCTCTTTTTTTAAAAAAAATAATAGTAATATTTATTATGTGTCATTTTCTTAATGAATGAAATAAAAATCCACCTCTATTAATTTTTTCTCATAATTTATTGAAATCAAAATAATATATCTTTTCAAGATCCAAAAAAAATATATTTTTAAATCTAGTAATTTCTATTTTCTATAGCTTTTTTCCACAAATTTTATTTTTAGATAATTAAATTTTTTTAAAAAATATTAGTCATGCCACAATAACCGTGACATAAAAAAAAAGCTATAGAAAATAGAAATTACTAGATTTAAGAATATATGTTTTTGGATCTTGAAAAGATATATTGTTTTGATTTGGATAAATTATGGAGAAAAAAATGATAGAGCTGGATTTTTATTCCATCCAATAAGAAAATGACATATAATAAATATTTTTTTAAAAAAGAGAGGGTTATTAATTGCAAGGGTATAAGTGAGAAAAAAGGTGAAGGGAAGGGTAATTTTAGATAAAAAAGATGAGTAGAAGAGTACTTTTAGACCGAAAGACATGTGGAGAGTATTTTTAGACCTTTTCTTGTAGTTAATGGATATTTTGACCCTTTTCCCTTTTTTAGATCAAAAAGATGAGTAGAAGGGTACTTTTAGACCGCAATATATATAATACTCCTTTTGGTATTTTATATAGTTAGATACCTACTAATGATTTAAATCCATATCTATTAACAAATATACCCATCATTTTAAGTGTTTGTTTTTAATTTCTTATAATTTAACTATCTGATGATATATATAGTTAGTTATATTTCCCATTAGGACTTTGATAGTGTTTGTTATTCTAGGTTTATGTTGGTATTGTATTGTTGGAATTTATGTGTTCATTAGTAATCACAGGATCATTAGTAATCACAGGATCAGGACCCCAAATAGAATAAAATGTAAAAAGTAAATAGCTCAAAGTAAATCATGCACAATAATTTTACGTGGAAATCTTCTTGTACAAGGATAGTAAAAATCACGACCTGTACTCTCATGATTTCAACCCAAACTCCATTTCATTAAAAGTCTTTGTATCAACAACATTTTGCTAAACATATTTTACATATTAGCTAAGACTTTTCATTTTTCGTATAATGTAATTATCATTCCTAATGTTCTCTAGATTATTTATGTATTATATGAAGTGATGGTATGACTAAAACATTAATTGATAATGTGGACTTAATTTTATACCTAGAGGTAGGTATAAAATGAGTGTGTTGAATGCCTTGAATCGGACCCGCTACAAACAGAAAGGACGGGGGTCTCGCTGCCCGGTCAGCGAGTTCGGGGGGTCCAGGGGGGC